CTGGCTGGGGAATTCTGGGAGTTGAAGTCCACTCATCTTAAAGTGGCCAAGTTCGGGCAACACTGGTGTAAAACAAGGGTAAGGAACATCTCCAGATTTTGTTGAACTACAGATGCTTTGTGTGGAAGCTCAGCAACATCCAGAAGGCACCAGTTCCCCTGGGCGTATGGTAGCTGGGTTGCAAAGGCCTGGATGACCAAATCACTCGATGGAAACAAGGAGATGCGGAACAACTCTTGCTGCCATATAGTGATTATTCTGATTTCTGCAGCCCAGACAGAATATGCCCATATACCCCTGACACTGAGTGAAACAATACAAGTAACTTGTTTCAGAATCAGGGCCTTTACAAACATACATACATATGTATATGTATTGCACTGCCATACTTTATAAATGCACACTACATGCCTAATGTAAGACCAAGTGGGCCAGACCAGAAGTTATAAGGTCCGGCATGCTGTTTCTCACAGTAGCCAACCAGATGCAAAATATTGCATACAGAATACAAATACTATACTTTTTTTTACCCCTACTGTTGTTTCTCAACAACTAATATTCAGAGATAAGTTGTCTGCAACCCTAAAGATAGTCTATAGCTATCATGACTGGTAGCCACTTGCAATCTTTTCCTCCATGAATCTCTCTATTCCCTAAACTCCTGCCTGAAAGTTCATGAAATAAAACAGCAATCACAGTTGAAAACATATTTATGGAATTTGGAAAAGGCACAACCTTCTTGCAAACGGTCAGCTGCCAAATACCTACTTTTATAATTGTCTTCTTGTCAGCTCAGTGCAATCTATGGTTTGTTTTGTATGTAACATGCAAAAGGGGGGAAAGAAGAAGAAATCCCAAGCAGAGTTTACAATATTAAAAATGCACTTTCATTGTCATAAAAAAGAGGAAATGGATTTACCCCGGAACATTTGCCATCAATACATTTACAGGTAAAATTAGAAGCAGAATTAAAAAACAGTTGAAATTCTCAAAAACAAAGTAGAATTTAAAAAAAAGCCTCAACAATAATATTTATCAATCTGTACAATAAAACTTTACATACACATACACAGATGATACATTGGCTTACTAAGGAAATTGTGAGAGGATATATCCCTGAATTTTTAGAACAAAACTATGTGTTAAAGTTCAAGTTACACTTGCTATCAAGTAGTGAGAATTTCTTTTTCCCAAAGATTAGCAGGGCAGAAAATCAGGGGAACATGATACGCTATATCTCTCCATTTAACATCCTACTGCCAACTAGTGTTGAGGTATATGACAAGTAGGAACATCATTCAAACATAATTTCCACATAGTTTTAGCGCACATTTTTTTAATAACAGGCCGAGTAGCACCATGATGTGAATTCAGTTCCAAACCCATATATATAGAGAGAGATATATTGATATATAATATATATTTATATATCTGTACAGTATTAAAATACTAAAGCATTGCATTAAAATTGTTTACAAGTTACTATACATCTCTTTTGCTTACACTTTTATACAAATTACCAATTAAAAATCGCCACAGCAAGCCAGCTGCCTCTTGTATTCTCCCCAAGCCCCCAGCCTCCTACAGAACAACCCTGTATTTCTTTGCTTCGACTCTTAACATTTCCTAGAAAATAGGGCTCCGTTACACTGAGCAGTGTCGTATACCATAACATAAATAATCCTTGATTATTAAATAAAGCAGTAACCATCATCTGGAGAGTGTTATGGTTCCTTAAAAAGTAGCTTAAAATCATATGACAAATTGTCAAGTTTAACTCTTGTTGTTATTGTCTGTGACTAATATATTAAAAACTTAAAATGTGTACTATTTGAGCAAAGAGCTTCTCAACAATATCGTTAAAATTAATATTCACAATATACCTGTGTGAACTGAGCACCGAAACATGAAGCTTGCATTCTTTTTTTCAATCCAGTTAGTTCTGCTTTGAACAGAGTAAATGAAGGTTTATTCTTTCTCTGTTCCATTAGCGAGTGTTTGAGCAATGGTTTCAGTTCATCTCAGTCAGTCTGAAACTGGCTTAAACACTTTCTCCTTCTGTTTGCAGTTCCAAATACTTCCTACCCTTTCCATCTTACATGAATTTGCCTGAAAGATCAAAAGATTTAAATAATAACAACAACAACAACAGTAATAATTTATTAAATGTATATGCTGCCTGACTCCCAGTGACTCTGGGTGGTATATAAATTTAATAAATTATTATTGCTTATATTTTTAAAGGTTTCTTTGAATATTACAGTAAATGTTTGGAAAGTTTTAGCACCCAGATAATGTTTATCAGTGGCAGCCTGATAAACACCATTCAAGCACCATTCAAGCACCATTCACAAAACATTTTTCTATTGTTTGCTGTTCTTAATTAGATCTTGGCCAAATGAATGAATTCTGGTGAGATCCAACAAAACTTATTTAGCATGGAGGAGTAGGAGAATAAGAATATAGGAATGCAGCATCAAAGCCTTATTTGGATTTTCCTGGTAATCCAAATAAAACTCTTATCTTCTATCTATATATTTTGTATTTTCAATAGCTTTATTGAAACAAAAGACCAGTTTCTTTTCTGATTTACAACTCCTCTGTGGGGTATTAAGTCAGCAGGAAAATATTTTTCAAAATGGTAGGGCAGACTGGGAAAGGGTTTAGCATCATCTTGTTATTGTAACATTATTCAACAGCTGCGTTATCAAGAAGCTTTGATCCATGTTCCAGCTGAATTAGCCATGAAAAAGAATATTAGTGATAGTAGTACTTGCTATATTAAATAGTCTTGGTTTAGGTGGGAAGAAAAGACCATGTACACTGTCACAAATTCTGACTGCAGCTGATCACCTGAGAGAATAGGGAAAATACTTAGACCTAGATAGCTGGTCTGGTTAGTTGATTGACTAGGATATCTATTTTTGATAATGATTTTCTGGGTTGCAACAAATGTGATTTAGATGCTGATAAAATGTAAACAAGAAGTGTACTATCAAACAAGCCACTTGGATCATACATAACGAAGTTACAACTGCTAATTTGCTGACTTATAAACTAAATGATCCATTGCAGATCCAACGGTAAGCCAGTTTAACTTGACATTAATGAATTGAAGGAACTCTCTGAGATCCTTCTCCTCCTCCGATGTGTTGCCACCGAAGACTGGAAGCATACATTCTATATAGTTAACCAGAGATCATAATTACATCCCATCTTATGAAATTCTACTTTGCCTAAACCATGGTTTTTAACAAACCAGGTTCATAAAATATGGTCTAATTCTGGGTTATTAGCAAATCATGGCTTAATCTAACTCCAGTCTCCTATATTTGGACATGATAAACTAGAGCTGGGTTAAAAGAAATTAAATTCTTCTAACTGCCTTGTGCTTGTTTCTGCTAATTCATGTAAAGCTAAATCAGATACAGGCAAAATGGAGCCCGGTGATCTCCAGACTTGCTGTGTCATTTGAATCTTTTTTAAAAAGTTAAGCAGGGAGTTTCTGTTGCATTTTGTGAATAGATAAGTGTTCTACAGCAGGGTTCCTCAACCTTGGCAACTTTAAGATGGGTGAACTTCAACTCCCAGAATTCCCCAGCCAGCAAGGTTCAGTTCAGTTCAGTTCCCCACCCATCTTAAAGTTGCCAAGGTTGAGGAAC